CCCCACGTCTTCAACGACAGCGCCGATTTAGCGCGTGCGAGAAAAGTGGGCGGTGGCAGCAGGCGTTCTCGTTGCGGTGCCAGGGGGTGATTACCGAACAAATCATCATCATCATCATCATCATCATCATCATCATCATCGTCATCATCATCATCATCATCGTCATCATCATCATCACCATCATCATCATCATCGTCATCATCATCATCATCAGCATCAGCATCATCATCGTCAGCGTCAGCATCAGCATCAGCATCAACATCATCGTCGTCGTCATAATCCAACGGTCTCGCGCCTCGAACAGGAGTTCGGAAGGAAGGGCTCAGATCCCCCCGCGCCGTGAGCAAAGTCGAGGCGGGAGTTGGTTGGCAGGTTTCGGCCTCCGGGAGCCCTCAATTACCGGGCCCTGGGGCTCTCCCTAGACGAGTGGAGATGAACAGCCGTTCTTGGGGAAGAGTTCCTGGCGAAGGTGGAGGAGGATACCTCAGTGCCTTCTCGAGGGGCGTGCTTCGAGAAACAAGGAGTAATGAGAGGGGGAGGAGGGGAACGAGACAATGCCGGGTGATGGGGGCTGGAGTGGGAGGGTTGGACTTGGACGTGCCTCGATCAAGGAGGATAGGGGAGTGACGATAGCGCAGGCAGGAGGAAGGAGGGAGGAGCAGGCAGGCACGAGGGATGAGGGAGGAAGGGGTAGGAGGGAGAAGAAGCCAGGCAACTGGGAGGATAGGGGGACTGCTCATAAAGGAGAGGCCGGGAGATGAACGAGGAATCCGGATGGGTGGAGGAATCATGATGATATGAGATGGGATGACATGAGATGAGATGAGATGAGATGAGATGAGAAGAGATGAACAAGCGGCCTGGAGCCAGATTCGGTCGGGCTACACTGGCCCGCCGTCGGGTGCCTGCGATGAGGCCTCCCCGAAATCGTGGAGGGGCTCGTCTGGCCCCTCCTCGGCTTCCTTTTTGAGGAGCCTCGAGCCGTCCGCACGGTGGCGGGAGCTCTCCCTCCAGGCCGACAGCCCTCAGCACCTCGGCTCGGGACGTCGCCCCATCCCACTGTGCCCCCCCCCCCCCCCCCCGAAGCCCCGCCTCCCCCGCGTCCTGAGACGAGGCGTTGGGGGCAGGCTCACTAGAGCCAAACGAGGCAGCCACTCGCACGCGCACAGCGTACGGGACGCCTTCGGGGGTCTCCAACCTACGTAAGGTCCTTCGGAGCTTCCTTGAAAACAGGGTACTTGCCAGCCTTGATCTGGTGGAGCTGCGCTCTCAGGCCCGAGGCCGCGTGGTCGCGGAGACACGGGCGGAGAAGGGCACGAGGGGGTCCTTCCACGCTGAAGAAGGTCCCACACGCACAGCAGACAGTGATGGCCTTGCCATCGTCCCGACCTGACCTCTGGCACACACGCGCGTGTGCGGCAGCGGGTGGCCGTTGAGACGACAACCCATCGGTCGGAAGAAGTAGGTAGAAACATGAAGTAGGAAGGCGTTGGAAATAGATTGGGCTTCCGCACGCCTCCTGAAGAGGAAGGAAGAGGGAAAACCACTCGACTCTTGAAGTAGGAAGGCGCTGAAAGTAGATTGGAATCTGGGCATCCAAAAATACCTACTTTCAACGACCGATGGGTAACCCATGTCACGGTCGCCCCTCGACGCAGGCTGTGCCTCGGGCGGGGCCCGCGGCCGTGCGCCTGGCGGCGCCTCGTCGGCGTCTGCACGGCCAGCAGCATAGAGCTCCGTGAGATCGGCATGGTCCTAAAGTCAGGAGGGGAAGAAACACACGGACACAATGAATCGTCCCTTCCCGCAGAAAATGTGGGAACATCTGGGAAGTGGGGGGGAAGACGAAAACCCAGAACATGTAGGAAAATATGGGAATACATCATTTTATTTGTGTGTATTGATTCGTGTGTCCTTGGGCCCCTTCATAGGGGGCCTCCCCGTCCCCAGCCAGCCCGTGCAGCCGCCCACTCTACCGCCCAGGCCCCACGGGAGGCCCCGACCAGGCCTCGCCAGAGGTGACACTCGCTCTTCTCCTCTCAGGAGCGACGGCCACTGTTCGTCAAGGCTGCCGCTGCTTCTTCGCCGCTGGCTCGGCCAGGCACTTCGCGACCTCGGCCTGGTAACTCTCGGCCTCCATGGCTCGCTTGAGACCAGTCTGGAAGGAGGGGTCCTCGAAGTCGGCTTGGGTGCGGGGCTTGTGCGGGACGCCGGGCCCATGTGACCCAGCCCCTCCTGCAGCAGCGAGAAACAAACACACAGACACAATTAATCGTCGACTCCCCAGAAAATATGGAAAACTATAGGCAGCGGGAGGAAGACAGGAAACCCAGACAATATGGGAAAGTGTGGGGAATCCTTTTCTTTGTGTGTATTTATGTGTGTGTGTGTGTGTCCCAAGGCCCCTCCTGCAGCGCCACTCCCATGGCCACCAGGGGCACCGCCAGCAGGCTGGCTAGCAGCCCCAGCAGCACGCTCGGCCGCCGCCTTGGACTCCCGCTGAAGGCGCTTGAGGGCCTCGGGCGCCGCCTTGCCCTCGGCGCAGGCCGCCCCACCATGCCAGACCTGGGTCGCCCACATCCTGGAAGTTGTCCCTGTGCAGCATCTTCGTGTGATGTTCCAAGTCCTTCCGCACCTCATCGATCTGCAAGGTGGTCTCCTCGATGCTACGCTGCAGCTCGCGCTGCTGGGACTCGAACTGCTGGAGGCGCTCCCCAAGCTTCGCGACCTTGCGAGCGGCGTTCTCGACAAGGTACCTTGCCGCCAGCGCTGTCGGGGGCTTCGACTCGAGATCTCTGGCCTTGGCCTTCTCGGCCTTGGCGATCGCCGACGTGCCGATGCCGTGCCCTCTGAGGAAGCCAAGCGCCTGGGCATAGGAGGGGTCCCCGCCCGTGGTTGACGAGGTCGAGCGCGAAGCACCCCCCCCTGCGCCGCCGGCTGTGCCCGCGCCGACGTTGGTGAGCGACGCCGGCTGCGCCGTGAGATCCTTGAGCTCCTTTGCCAGACGAGACTGCTCCCCACTGGCGTTGGCACCTCGACCTCCTGGGCGCACCTTGGCTGCACGGGCACGGGCGTCCTGCTGGACTCGCACGGGCGCAGCTTCTCCACGTCCACGGCACCTGAGCCGACTGGCCCAGTTGCCGCTCTCTCCACACGTGCCGCACCCCCTGACTGGGTATCTGGGGCCTGGCCAAACATCGCCTTCCGCGCCCATGAAGCCGGTCAAGGGCTCTGATATGCAAGAACTTGGCCCGCAGGCACGAGCGCCACTTCGAAGTGCGCACCTGGAACACTCTCGAGTGCGGAATGGTTGATGGAGGAAGGATGAGGAAAGACGACGGAGCAAGGAGCGACGAGGAGTCAGGAAGGTGGAAGGAGGCGCTAGAGAGGTCGAGGGAGGAGGGATGAGAAAGGAACGGTGGGAAAGGAACGAGGAGCGAGGGAGGGGGAATAAGAAAGGAGGAAGACAGAAGGGTCTCCACCTGGCCACTCCAGTCTGGCGTCATTGCCTGCATGCTGAGGAAAGGAAGCTTGCGAGAGAGGCTAGGCAAGACGGCCAGTTTACACCATCAGAGGTAGCATGACGAACGTAAGACCTAGATATCCGGCGTCATGAACACCGAGAGAGCTGCTTTGTTCCTCGATCAGGGTCTCCAGTTGCCTTGCGCTGGTCTCTGGGACCGCCACATCCAGCCAGGAACGTTTGCTTAGCGTGTCGCGCCGCCAGTTCTGGCCCACCACGCTTGGTGCGACACGCCAAAAATCAGAGCGTGGATTACCTACCCCGCTTTCGCTGCCAGGTAGTCTCGTCTGCCTCTTTAAAATGGCCTTCCTTTCCAAGGCTCCACGCCTCGGGCTCTCCTCGGCCTCCCGCCCCGCGGAGCGGAGCGACGTGCCATCCTCCTGCAGGGCACGGCGTGCCGCCCGGGCTGCCGCCGCGACGCGCCCATCGGGAGCCTCGATATGGGGGTCGATGCACACGGGGGTCTGCCCAGGGCACGTGGATCGATGCACTCGGGAGCCTTGACCTGGGAAACTATGGGGAATTCTCTTATTTGAGTGTATTGATCTGTGTGTCCTGGGGCCCCTTCCGTCCGCTCGGCACGTCGTGTCTGCTTCCTGTCCGCAGCCGTGCGCGAGCAGTCCTGCTCCGCCGCCCCCGAGCGGGCCTCGCTGCTCCGCCCCCCGCTGCTCCGCCGCCACCGAGAGGGCTCGCAGAGGGAGCCGGGGAGCAAAGGCAGCGTCAACGGTACACATCGGGAGCCTTGAGACGGGGGTCAATGCAGACCGGGGTCAGCCAGGGCACTGGACCCTTCAGGATCCTGCGAAGACCCCCTCTGGCTGACCAGGGTTTGCGAGCCGCTCGTGGCCGCGAGGCGGCCGCGCATATCGGTTGACCCGGGTTTGCGGAGTTCTGCGGTGCAGTTTTGTGCCTTGCGTTGCAGTTTTTTGGTTTCCTGCTGACCCGGGTCTGGACTGACCCGGTTTCAGAAGATCCCCGAGCTAAGCAAAACTTCCCCACCGTGAGCTACTTGGAGCGAGAAACGGTCATGGGAAGGGGCCCTCGCTGCACAAACAAAAATGCGGCGCCGCGTGTCTGAGGAGGGTGAACGGTTTTCCAAGGTGGTTGACATGCGTTCGGGTGTTCCCAGAGGTGGCATTTGCGCAAGGACGTAGACATCTTGGCCCAAGCTTTGGATCGGACCGCACCTCCTTTTGATTCACGATCCGGTCGATCGACCAATGTCCTTGGGAGCGGCTGCCGTGCGGGACCTCGACCTCGTGTTCTGGGGCGCGACTGGTTTCACAGGCCGCCTCAGTGTGGCAGCCATGGCAGGGCACGCAGCCTCGTTCTATAGTTGCCATCTGCCCAACGTCGGATCGCCACGCGGCGGCGGCAGAGTGCGGTATGCCCTCGCCGGGCGCAACGAGGAGAAGCTGCGCCGGGTGCACGCCGAGTGTGGCTGCGGACCCGACGTGGACATTTTCGTTGCTGGCGCCGAAGACGAGGCTGATGGGCCTGTTTTCCACCACCACCACCACCATAAGTTGGAGGGAGAGGAGGTCTTCCTCCTCCTCCTCCTCCTCCTCCTCCTCCTCCACCTCCTCCTCCTCCTCCTCCTCCTCCACCTCATTCCCCCCTCCAATTTATGGTGGTGGTGGAAAACAGGCCCACCAGAGGCCGCACTTGCCGCCTTCGTCTCACGCACCAAGGTGGTAGTGGCTCTCGCAGGGCCTTTCAAGTTCCACTCTGACATCGTCGTGGGCCTGTGTGCCAGGCTCGGGACGCACTATGTTGACATCACAGGCGAGGTGGCCTGGGTCCGGTCTGTAATCGACCGCTACGACGAGGTCGCAAGGTCCACTGGCGCCCTGATCTGCAACTGCTGTGGATTCGACAGCGTCCCTTTCGACCTCGGAGCTCAGTTCGCAATCAATCGGCTGAGGGCTCGCGGCACGGCGTCGTCGATACGGCGCGTCTCCGCCTACAGCGTCATGGGAGGCCCGTCCGGGCCTGGCATGCTGATCTCTGGCGGCACCCTGACGTCTGGGGCCTCCATGCAGCAGGTGCAGCTGACCAAGGGCGTCGACAAGGACGACCCCTTCCTGCTGGGCGGCCTGCCCAAGGGCGGGCCCCGCGAGGAGGACACGGACGCCTCCACCCACGAGGTCCGGAAGCTGGGCGAGGGCCTCTACTGCGGCCCGTCCATGATGCACAGCGTGAATTCGCGCCTGGTGCCCAGAGCATGCAAGACAGTACCGGTACCGCCTCTCGTGCCTCGTTCTCGTCTTTTGGGGCCTCCGGGGAGGCCCTCGTCGGCACCGCGGAGTTCGCCTCTCGAGGTGCGGGCGAGGACGCTTCTCGGGAGCGGTCCCGGGAGCAGCGGCACCGGTGCCTTCTCGCTCCCCACAGGTGCGCCGCTCCGCCAGGCTGCTCCGGTGGGGGCCCGCCTTCAACTTTGCGGAGGTGATGCCCGTGCCCAGCGAGAGGGCCGCGGCGAAGCTCGTGAAGCGGGCGCGCGCCCCCGCGCCTCCGGAGGTGGTGGAGCAGCTGATGGCGGCGGGCCGCCTGCCGAAGCCGGGGGAGGGCCCGCTGCCGGAGGTGCGCAGGGTCACGCGGTTCGCCACGGTTCTCGAGCGGGTGTTGCCAGGGGGGGGTCCTGGGCCCAAGGTGATCTGGGCCCTCCTCCTCCTCCTCCTCCTCCCTCCTCCTCCTCCTCCTCCTCCTCCTCCTCCTCCTCCTCCTTCTCCTCTTCCTCCTTCTCCTCCTCCTCCTCCTCCTCCATTTCCTCCTCCTCCTCCTCCTCCTCCCTCCTCCGCCTCGGCGGTGCGGCTCGATGTGGAGCCCGATTTGCTCCACCCTGGCGTCGCCGATGCATCGGCGATGCGGCGCGATTTGGCGACCCCGTCTACTCGGACCGCGTTAGGGAGGCCTCGTGGTGAGTGACGGCAGAAAGCAGGTTCAGCTCCACTGGCAGTCGCGTGGCAGCTTCCCGCGTGAGGTCGCGCATGAGCGCCCTCGTCCTCCACGCGGCGTGCCGTGCTGGCGGCCCGCGTCAGCCGCGGCGTGGGGTCGCTGTGCCATCTCGCGTAAGACCCTTCTCTTTTCGTCGCCCGGTATCTCCCCGAGATTCGCGGGGAGGCCCAGATGGCCTCCGGGGCGCCCCCATCACGAGGCCCAAGGTGGGCCGGAGGTGCTCCAGGATGGCGCGAGAAGAGTCAGGGGCAGCATGGGCCATGGCCACGTCTAGCAACCTCCGTGTGGAGTGCACCGCGGACGACGGGAGCAGCCTGGTGGCAACTGTGCGGGGCGGCGAGGCGGGGTACGAGGAGATCGGAGGAGGAAACAAGGCACCGATACCCGCTACCGTAGAGAAAGAGAGAGAGAGAGAGACAGAGAGACGTGCACGTCAGAGGGGCACTGGCACGACGGTGAGGCAAGACACTACGGGACAGTTCCGGCGGCCCCGCTGTGAAACAAGCGTGAATATCTCGAAAGCGCGTATTCTTATTTCAGGGCCCCAGCGGATCTCGAAAAAAGCCTTAAAGCACCCGCAGAGCCAGGGCGGGGGCCAGAGGCAAGGGTCACGGGAACGGGTCAATCAACACATTGGCATGAATCGTCACACGTAACACCAAGCTGTACAGCAGGTATGAGAGGGAGGAGGAGGAGGAGGAGGAGGAGGAGGAGGAGGAGGAGGAGGAGGAGGAGGAGAAGGAGGAGGAGAGATGGAGGAGGAGAGGAGAGGAGGAGAGGAGGAGGAGGAGGAGGAGAGGAGGAGAGGAAGAGGAGGGGGGAGGAGGAGGAGGAGGAGGAGGAGGAGGAAGGCAGCATGGATGTGCGCACATCAGAGTAGGGATCGGCCTGGCACCAGGTGCCCTGCAGAGGACTCTTACCGGCCGATGGCCCTGGGGGCGCACAGAGGCCCTGGGGCACCTCAGGGAGCTCAACAATCGACGAGGAGGAGGAGGAGGAGGAGGAGGAGGAGGAGGAGGAGGAGGAGGAGGAGGAGAGGGAGATGGAGACGTTGAGGAGGAGGGAGGAGGAGGAGGAGGAGGAGGAGGAGGAGGACGAGGATTGTGTCCTGAGATTGCACCCGAGAGCAAGATGCTTGACCGTGTGCGTCTGCTGCACCCTCCCCTCGCTTTCGCCTTCTCGGGCCTCCAGGGGCGCCCTCGTCGCCACGGCCGGGTTCGCCTCGGAATCACTGTGGAGACGTACCCGCGAGAGACCCGGGGAGCAGCCGTATCGGCACCATGTGGCTCCTCCGCGAGGAGGCCAGCAGGATGGTGCTGGAGGCCGCGCTCGCCCTGGTGGAGGAGCCCCACTGCTGCCCCGGCGCGGCCACCGGAGGCTGCCTCACGACCGCCGCAGCCTTCGGCGAGACGCTCATCCGCCGCCTGGGCCAGGTCGGCATCGCCTTCGCGGTGGAGTCTCGAAGCGTCGCGGCGGTGGTCTCGGAGGCCTTCCGGGAGGGCGCCGAGAGAGCCGCGGCGGCCGGGTCGAAGCTGTGAGTGCCGCGCCGGCGTGGTCCTGGGAAGGCTCACGACCCACAGCCCCAGGAGTCCGGAAAAAGAAGAAGGAAATATTAGCACAGTAACTCGTTGCAGGAGCATGATTTCTCGGAGGTCTATGCGGATCTCTTCGATCGGCGCCGGGACCCCTGGCGGCGCATTCGGCACCGCCCCTGGCACGCTGGGGGTCATCGCCGATCCAAGAAATATCTACCTTAAAAAAAGACGTGACCTTGGCCGAAGGTGACTTCGGCTTTCTCAGGGCAGCCCAGATGGCCTCCAGAGCATCCCTCACGAGGCTCCCGAGGGCCTCGAAGATTGCCCGAGAAAAGTTGGGGATCGCTTCCGAATGCAGGAGCTTCCAATTGGCTGTGTAGTTCGAGTGATGCCCAGTGGGATGCGGTCCAAGCCACACTTCGCAACCATCGCCAGGCCCTGCCATCCTCGGATGCAAGTGCTTCCGAGGCTGGACTTCTCCTCGCCATGCCCGTCCCCGCTCTGCCCCGCCACAGCTGGTGGCGGGGCGGAGGTAGGGCAGCCACGACCGAGGTGACGTTCCAGGACATCATGGACACCGGCGACGGGCCCGAAGACTACGAGATCGTCGAGGGATCCACGCTCTGCGTGGGCCGCGAGGCGTTCCGGAACAACCAGTCCAAGTACTACATGGACGGCAAGGCGAGCAACTTCACCGAGGTGACCCAGGCCTCGCGGGGCCCTCTCGGGGCCTGGGGCGGCCCGCGGGAGGCCGGCCGAGGCGCGTGCAGGGAGGCGTCCGGCCTGGGGCGCGCCTGGCTCGGACGTGGTCATCGGGCGGGGGGCGGGGGCCCTCAGACCTAGGGTTAAGTCGGGCCTGTCCCTCCACAGGAGGAATATTCACGAATAGTCAAAAGATAGTCTGGGGGGGGGCGACTTTTTAGTATTTTTGGGCCCTTTTCTTCGATTTTTGACCAGTTTTAGTTCTTCCTCGCAGATCTCCCTGTAGGGGGACAGGCCCGACTTCATCCTAGGGGTGCACGGTGGACGCCGTCGGGGTCGGGCCGGGGCTGCCCTGGCCACACTGGGCGTTGCGCCGCAAGCATGGGGGCACCGATTTTCGACGCGCCGTGTTCAGAACGAGCAACGTACAATACGTGATGAAGGTTTGAATTTCCAATTTGCTTAATTATTCGAAAATGTGCGTTCCCCCCAAGTTCGCGTCCCCCTGCGTTGACGTTCTCCCGAATTTCGGGCAGCCCTGTGGAATCCAAATGCGCTTCCACCTTACCAGCCTTTTCTTGCCGTGTCTGAGAACAAATTGGCTTCTGAGGGAAAGGGCTCCTGACGTTTTTTTCTTCGCGTTCGGCTTTGCAGGATCCCTCCTGGGCCCCTGGGACCGCCAGAAACATGTCAGGATGGAAAGCTGACCTAGGGGAAGGCCCTGGTGGTCTAGGACCCGCGGCCCGCAGGATCCCGCTGTCCGTCGCGCCCGCGTGATAGCCGCCGCCTCGCGCCTTCTCGTGGCCTCCTCCGCCGCTGGGCTTCTGGCTCGGGTCAACTGCCGCGGGAAGCGTGTTGGTCGCTCACCGTCCGTGGCCCAGGGAACCCGCGAGCCACCAGAGAGCGCCCCCCATCTGCTCGGCATGTCGTGTCTCAGGAGGGGAAACAAAACACACACACACACACACACACACACACACACACACACACACACACACACACACACACACACACACACACACACACACACACACACACACACACACACACACACACACACACACACACACACACACACACACGCACACGCACACGCACACGCACACGCACACGCGCACGCGCACGCGCACACACACACACACACAGAGACACAATTCATCGTCGATTCCCTGGGAAAATATGGGCAGTGGGGGAGGGAAAAACAGAAAGAAACCCAGAACATATGAGAACATCGGGAATCGTGTTTTTTGTGTCTGTTTATCTGTGTGTCCTGGGGCCCCTTCAATCTGCTCGGCTCGTCGTGTCTGCTTCCTGTCCGCAGCCGTGCGCGAGCAGTTCTGCTCCGCCGCCCCCGAGCGCGCCTCGCTGCTCCGCCGCCCGCCCCACCAGGGAGGCGAGAGGCCTCGCAGAGGGAGCCGGGGAGCAAAGGCGGCGTCAACGGTACACATTGTTCATTTCTAATTTTTCCGAAATAGGGGTCCACATGCGAACCCTACCCCTACCCCCCCCACGATTTCTGAGTTGGAGGGTTGGGTTCACTGGGAGGAGGAGGCCGCCGTCCCGAGCTGCATGGTCGGATGCATTTGGCCGAGTCCTGCGCGTGCTTCAAGGTCTGGGTGGTATCTTGCAGGCAGCTTGGGTGGCTGGGTCCTGGCCGTACAACCGCTTCCTCTCTTTGCGCAAAGCTGCCGCCTTATGAGGTGCGCGCCAGCAATTGGCTAAGTATGGTCGCAAGCTTTGGTCAGAGCCGAGCGTACTGATTGGTCAAGGGCTTTTGTGGTTACGATGTGTAGCTGATTGATCAAACAACACTGCCATACCGCCCCTGCCCATGGCACTGATGCGAGCGTGTCGTTTATAATCGTCCTTGTACCCCCCATGTCTGGCCCAACGTCACTACCTCCAACGACGTGTACGCCAGCGCGGAGAACCCATCAGCGTGTGCACTACTGCACAGTCGCATGGCGTCTGTGGACGGAGGCGAGAGAGTAAAACACGCCGACGGGCTTCCGGCGGCGGCATGCCGTTCGTACCTCAGGAGAGGGAAAAACACACAGACGCAATGAATCGTCGATGCCCAGGAAAATATGTCAAGCAGTGGCGAAGCGTCCTGCCTCGCCTATAGCCATAACAAACAATGTTCTAAGAACCTTTTGTGGTTTCCACGAAATGTTCTTAGAACACTTCTGGCGGAGTCTGTCTTGTTTTAGTACATCGGGTTTACGTGCTAAGCACATTGGTGTTGTTTTGTTTTAAACGTTTTTTGGTTCTAAGCACATGTCGTGGTAGAACTATCGGAATGCCGGGACGGTCGGTCCCTGCCCAAATATGGGAAAAGATGGGAAGTGCGGGGGGAGACGAAAATCCAGAAAGTATGATAAAGTATTGGGAATGTTGGTATTTGTGTGTTTTCATTTGTGTGTCCCTGGGCCCCTTCAACATCCTTTTCCCCTCCCGAGAAAGTCAGGATCAGTGATTTTGCCAGCCTTCAGGCAGCGAGCGGCGTGCAGGAATCAGAGCCAATGCTGTTGCTAGGGTCCCAGGAACACACCCCTCAACCCCCAGGATGCTGGCTTCGCTGGGCTTGCCCTTCGCGGCGCAGCGACGTCGGGAGGAGGAGGAGGAGGAGGAGGAGGACCAGTGCAAATCGAAAACGCATCAACGACGTTGACTCTCCAGTTTCCCTTGTCATGCGCCCCCATCAAGAATGATTATTAATTACGGAGAGTTGCCAATTAGAAGAGAACAGGTTGAGGATCTTCATCCGCGCCAACAGTCTGAGGATTTCCACGCAGCAGATAAACGTGTCTGTTGCGTCCTGACGATCGTAGACCGTGCCATAACTCTACAGCTGGAAGGTTCAACACCGCGAGTCAGCTTGACTGCTGCGTCCTGGCAGCATGAAATCTGAACCATACGAATCCTTGGGACCTGCCCTCCATCCTTAGAGTTGCTTCAGACTTTCAAGACGAATGCGCGCGCCGCCATGGCGAGAGCCACGATCTGAGAAGGACTTCCCTCCATCCATGCAGTGGCTGCCAGCTTTGGAGACGAATGCGCGCGGTGCTAATGCTATACCATCAGTTTACCAGCCTGGAACATATCCCTATCCCTATGCTGGGCATCGCCCCATCACGTTGCCAATCTGTGGGATTCCCTTATATTTTGAGGGCGCATCCCTAAGATTGTCATCGCCTTTGGGCGTGTCAATCTTAGGAGATAGGGATATGTTCGAGGCTGGTAATCAGTTTGACAACGGCCCCAACGGCCCGCCCTCCAGCCGTGAAGCTCTTGCAAAGGTCAAGTGTCAGGGTCACCGGAGGGGAGGAAGTCTCTGGCGAAGCGCCCGGCACGCCCTACCGACACGTCTGGGGCTGCGACAGGGCTTCGGGCCCCCCCCCACAGAGTCCTAAGGATACCCAAGGATTCTTGACGATCCTTTTGGATTCTGAGGATTCGCGCGGCTTCCTGATGATTCCGGGGGATTCCGCAGGATTCCTCCAGATTCCTAGAGGCTCCTCTGCGCCCCCATGGGTTCACACAGTTTCTAAAGGTTCTCTAGGATTATTTGCCATTCGCGAGGATGATCGAGAGTTCTAGGGGCTTCTAAGGGCTCCTAAAGGGTTCTTACCTAACAGCGAAGACTGATAGGTTTCTAGTTGACTCGAAAGAGCTCACAGATCACTCCACAGGGGGGTCCGGGCAGGTGTTGGGAGTTGCCGGGCGGCAGGTGCCGGGCTCGTTTTTCGCCAACAGTCACACACTTCGTGCTCTTCGATTTCCCAGAACTCCATTCCCAGGCCACATTCTGGAGGGCCGAATGCAACAGTCACACACTTCGTGCTCTTCGAGTTCCCAGAACTCCATTCCCGGGCCACATTCTGGAGGGCCGGATGCAACAGTCACACACTTCGTGCTCTTCGAGTTCCCAGAACTCCATTCCCGGGCCACATTCTGGAGGGCCGGATGCAACAGTCACACACTTCGTGCTCTTCGAGTTCCCAGAACTCCATTCCCGGGCCACATTTTGGATGCCCGGAGCCAACTGTAGGCCACTTCGTGGTCTTCGAGTTCCCAGAACTCCATTCCCGGGCCACATTTTGGATGCCCGGAGCCAACTGTAGGCCACTTCGTGCTCTTGGACTTCCCAGAACTCCATTCCTGGGTATGATTTTGAATGCCCGGAGCAAACTGTAGGCCACTTCGTGTTCTTCGAGTTCCCAGAATTCCATTCCCTGGCCACATTTTGAATGCTGAGGCAGGCTGATGCTGAGGCTGAGGCAGGCTGAGGCAGGCTGAGGCTGAGGCCGAAGCTGAAGGCAGACTCAGGCTGAGGCTGATGCAGGCTGAGGCTGAGGCTGAAGCAGGCTGAGGCTGATGCAGGCTGAGGCTGAGGCAGGCTGAGGCTGAGGCTGAGGCTGATGCAGGCTGAGGCTGAGGCAGGCTGAGACTGAAGCCGAGGCTGAAGGCAGATTGAGGCTGAGGCTGAAGCAGGCCGAGGCTGAGGCTGAGGCTGAGGCAGGCTGAGGCTGAGGCTGAGGCAGGCTGATGCTGAGGCAGGCTGAGGCTGAGGCTGAGGCTGATGCAGGCTGAGGCTGAGGCAGGCTGAGGCTGAGGCCGAGGCTGAAGGCAGACTGAGGCTGAGGCTGAAGCAGGCTGAGGCTGAGGCTGAGGCAGGCTGAGGCTGAGGCTGAGGCAGGCTGATGCTGAGGCTGAGGCTGAGGCTGAGGCTGAGGCTGATGCAGGCTGAGGCTGAGGCAGGCTGAGGCTGAGGCTGAGGCTGAGGCTGAGGCTGAAGGCAGGCTGAGGCTGAGGCTGAGGCAGGCTGAGGCTGAGGCTGAGGCAGGCTGATGCTGAGGCTGAGGCTGAGGCTGAGGCTGATGCAGGCTGAGGCTGAGGCAGGCTGAGGCTGAGGCCGAGGCTGAAGGCAGACTGAGGCTGAGGCTGAAGCAGGCTGAGGCTGAGGCTGAGGCAGGCTGAGGCTGAGGCTGAGGCAGGCTGATGCT